ACAATTCAAGTGTTTCTATCAGTTGTATCCTTCTAGGAATCCATGTTATTATTATTATTTCTGGGCAGCCTCTGGAATTATCTTATCTACAAACTGCAAACATTTAATATGCAGTTTATTTTTGTGGCATTTTTTCTACATTTCATCATCCAATGATAAAAAGCATACTTTCCTATCCCTTTCTTCAAGGTGTTGCCACTGATTGTTTATTGCTCAGGTAGAGTTATAGTCCTAAGGCAGAAATGATATTAAATACTGATGGCATTTTGAAAAAGCCGAACCTCCCATGAAAATAATAAAATAAATCCTGCAAAGTCACAGAATAAAATAGCAACAATCCTTTCAAGCAGATAGTACAACCAAAATTTATTTTGCTAAAAAGTTAGCAGAAGTTCAAGAAAACAAAGATACTTTATTGTAAACTAGTAATTGAAAGAAAAAGGATCATTTTTGAACAGGTTTTGTCTCTGATCACCACTCATTTCAAAAGACAGACGCACCATGAGAAAATTCTCAGATAGCTATTTCTATAGATGGACAAGTTTTGCAAATAAAATTAACAGATGCTTTGACGGTTACCTCATATGATCTTTGTATTTGTACTGCCATGACCTGAAACAGGTCAACCTACCATACATAATGAGTGATAAAAACAAGTACACAATATCTCCTATTTTGTGTTATTTTATATTTATTTTTCTTAGATAGTTGGTCTATCTAACTTATCTAGTTTTAAAGCTTGAATACAGCCTGTCTACTATCTCCACCATGATTTTGATATGAAGTGCCTTCTGTTTTAAAGTTTCAAAGGAAGCATGTGCTGTCTATGTACTAGTTTTTGTAGAAAAGTATGTGATAACGTTGTGCATAGAGGGATTTTTTTAATCATTAATCAATGCTGAATTGAATTTGATTTAGCTCACAGTGCACCTCACAAATCCTGCACTAAAAACATTTTTCTAAATATCATTTGAGACTGCATTTGTACAGTTCAGTCTGTACTGTTCTGAAGAAGAATAAATGTTCCCTCTAAAGTGTGTTAGAATAAAAAATTATGGTGTGAACGTGAAAATGTGTCGTTATGGCTGCTGCTTTTTGAAGACCAGACTGATCTATTCTAATGACCTCCTTCTCTCCTTCTCCATCTCTCTGTCATTCAGCCAGGCATAAAAGGTAGTTGCAAAAGCATGAGAATCATTTTCAACCAGGTTGTTGGATGATGATTGACAGTTCTTTTTTCAGTTACATGCATCCAGAACATGAGCATTTGTTCAGGTACAGCTTGGGCATTTACCAAGTGAACCTGTGACTAACAAGAGATCTAATATCAAACTTCTAAAACCTAGTGCTACATATTGGATCGCAGAGACAATAGAGAGAGATACATCAAAAGGGTCTCTAATGAGTCCTGATTTAAAAGTTATAGGATATGGATACTATTCCTGAACTATCACAGACACATGTAGACTACTGAATACAGAAGAAAACTCCTTTTTTTTTTAAGGCAGGCAATGACAGACTGTGTTGCTACGTATCATTTTTTTCTGACCCCCTCCCCCACCCATGCTTGCCTTGCAGGAACTCTGGAACTCTTTCCCAGGGTTTTTCTTGCAATGGTAGGTAGGCAAGGTAAGGTCTGATCTTAGCATTGAAAATCCCATTTCCTCACCTATAAATCATTGCTCAAGAGGGGGGAGGGGGGCAGGTAGCTTTGGGGAATAAAACTGGGGAAAGGGAAGATGTGAGTGGACGACAGAAAGGTTAAATAATTCAACTGTGTATTCTTCTCATCATTCTGGGGTATAGATTTGCACGTCTGAGAATATGAATGCTTTTGCTTTTGTAAGAAAGCTCTTACATTCAGCCTTTGTAGCCCCTTTTTCTTTCCTTACCTCTACCTCTTTTCTCCAGAAAAATATCACTTCTTGCGCTTCTCTGCTCCTCCTTCCCAGTCCCACCACACAGATTATGCATTGTTCAGGGTTAGAAATGTGACAGCCCGGCTACGTTTTAGCTTCCTGAGCTCATTAGTAAAGAGCAACATGCTCTCTGGAAGAAGTGTCAGGAGTCTCCTTAGCAAGCACTGTGTTGAATTGGGAAGCTGAGCCAGTGTAATGTGGCTTCAGTGGCGTGCCTGCAGCTCTCAACAGTGGCAGAAGAGTTGATTCTTTGTTTGGGAGGAAAATAAGGGGGAGAGATGTGGAAGCATTCAGAGCTAGCCCTTCCGTAACCAAAACATTCAGTGATTTTATGCTGCGAGCACTTCTGCTATAATCATGTGGGAATGAATGACCAGAGTGCTGCTCAGGAAGGAGTTGATGCATTGTACAGTTTTCCCCAGCTGCCACCAGGAGAACACCCTCACACAAACATTCCCAAGTATGTTGTTCTGAACAACCTTTCTCTGCCTATGCCTAACATAAGGTTTTATTAATTCACAATACCCTGAGTTTCGCCCTCCATCTGTCATCTCACCTGCCACCAGACTGCTGTCCCTTCCGTGCAGTTAGCAAAACAGAAATAATAAGAAATCATTTCAGTGGTTCAGTGTCAGATTGGAGGGAGAGGGTGGAAATTATTCCCAAAGCTGCTGGCGAGCACGTTTTTTGTGTAAAGAGGCCTCAAACCACCGGAGAATTCCTGGATTGTCTCAGGCTGCTGTGTGTGATGTCCATCATGCTGTATGAACACCATCTGTTCGGTATTATACTCTCAGTTGCCAGGCTACCTGCTCTGTGCTGTAACACTTGACTGGCTGGCTGAATGTTAGCAGCATTATCCCAGAAGTACTAAGGGGGAGGAGGAGGGGGAGGGAACAGTAGTCATGATTAAGCCATCTGCAAGCACAGGGGAGGGTGGAAACGGGAAAAAAAAGGCAGAGCGCCCAGGGCAGCAATCAGTCACCAATAGGCTGACACAAGCCATCAAGAATTGGGCGCATGATGCCACCTGCTGGTGCATTGGAGAAACATTAGCCTAGTAGATGTTCTCGGACTTCTCTTAATCCAGAGCTACCTGCCGTTTTGATAGATGGGTGGATTTAGAAGGAAAAGTCAAATACACTGGCATCCCTTATAGTGCATGACCATTATGAGGCGCTTAAGAAGCTTTTAAAAATACTCAGAGCCTTATGAGCTGCAATAGATGCCTCTCAAGTTCTACTTGAACCTTACAGGGCAAAAGAGAAAATGCCATGTTGAATATGTTTTCTGAAAGGCACATCTCTTCCTCTGACTTTCTCTTGCTTGGCTAATTAAGTTCTAATGTCCTGTAATGCATCTTTGTTGTATGATCATTGCTATTGGTCAAAGTGATAATGAACTGGTTTGCTACAAAGATTTATTTCAGTCCCCTCTTAGGAGTTTTCTGGCCAAAGACTGCAGGTAGATTGTTTGGTTTGAGATAGGCAGACGCACTCACAAGAATATTTTTTTTAAACTCATAAGGATTACTTTCTTGAATCCTGAGTTCAGTCATAACAAGCTTGCACTGTTTAAATCTCATTGGAAGTTTAAAAACAGTCCACTTTTAGTTAGTTTCTTCTAATCATCATGAAACACAGTGGATTTTTTTTTTGAAAAGTAACTACCTAGTAGGACCAGATTTTGCAGCTATACCTTTAATTGGAAACGTATCATAATAATAACCTTTCCCACAGTGAGTTTCTATGCTGAAGCCCTTTTCATCAACCTCATCTTACCTAGAGATGATTATGATGAGACTACGGAGACTGATTATATAGATAGGAAGAAAAACCATCTGATACTGCTTTGCTACAGCATGAGCTCACTCATTCACAATGATTGCACAAATTAATATGAAATTAGTGAATTGACATCCAGAACTTACAAAAGAAGACTGAGCTTTGCTTGCAAGAGATTTTTAATCCAAACTCTGTGCTATTCCTCATATATATCCTGCATTTATTTTATTTTGGTTTATTTTAAAAAAGGTATATGGCCACCCAGCTCAATCAAATATATGTGAGAGAGGGAGAATACTGGAGAAAGTCATGATTAATCTATTTACATTTCATAAATCCAAGCCAGGAAAAACAAATCAAAATTTAGGTAGACTTCCAAATTCCTGTATCTGAATCTGAAAGCTGTTGATATCTAATTTCAGATTTACCTCTTAATCCCTTTGTCCTGCCTTTTCTAATTCTGGCCATGTTTCTAGATTTTTGGCCTTTACTCTTTGCTTGTGCTAAACGCTTTATTTGTTATTGTGCTCATCACCACTGACAACTTGTTAAGACTGATTTTCTAAGGTTATGTATAAGAAATCTTCTTTCCCGTTGGTAGACACTTATTGTAAAGAGAGAAATTCAGAATATAATGTGCTTTGCCTTGTAATGAATTATTCTGTATTCTACCAATTCAGAAAGTGGTTGAAAAATTCGCCAAGTTTGACACACATTTCATATTTTGCAAAACTGTTATCAGAGTAGTTAATGCAAGTGTTCACAAATTTTTAAAATCCAAAACATTGCAGAAACCGGTTTTGCTAAAGTTGTTTTTCCATAGCTTGCAACTTCTTTAATTACAGAAGTTTTACAAGTTCCTATCACTTCCAAGTTTAATTCAAAACATTACACTAAAACTTATACTGCCTGGTCTCTTACCTAGTCAAATCTTTTGGAAAGACCCTATTCCATGAGTTTACATCATCAGAGATTCTACTGGCATTTGTGGCAGAAAACATTTTCTATAATGATGTCCAGATTTTATAATTCCTGGGGGACTCTCTCCGGTCTTTTTTGATATCAAACATGGAACTTAATGCAATGGGATACTGACTGGGATTTAGGTAAATAGTTATTCCAAGTCACAGGGAGAGCAGTAAGCTGGTGACTGACTGCTGGCATTGTTCCTTCCATTTTCTGTTCCCTTCCTTATTATTCTAATTTTTGCAAAATAGAATATTTAATATATTGATTTATAATGTACAGTATACCTGCATACTATCTAACTTATACCTTTATATATTTCATTGTTTAGGACCAGCACACTGTGGCATTGTCTCGATCGACAGGTCCCATGCAGTCCTCTGTACCCTCAGGACCCAGTAATGTGGGCACAAATCCTGGCAATGCCAATTTCTTGAGCAATCAACCTCAAGCAGCCATTATGAAGCAGATGCTGATTGAGCAAAGGGCTCAACTCCATATGATAGAGCAGCAGAAGCAACAGTTTCTTCTAAGGGAGCAACGGCAGCAGCAGCACATCTTGGCGGAACAAGTACTGTATATCGTTTTGCTATATCTTAAATATTAGTCTAAAGAAAAGAATTAGGGGTGCCATGACAGCAGTATTCCAGTATTTGAGGGGCTGCCACAAAGAAGAGGGAGTCAAATTATTCTCCAAAGCACCAAAGGACAGGACAACAAATAATGGTTGGAAACTAATTAAGGAGAGAAGCAACCTAGAATTAAGGAGAAACTTCCTAACAGTGAGGACAATTAACCAGTTGACACTCCATCACTGGAAGTTTTTAAGAAGAGACTGGACAGTCACTTGTCTGAGATGGTATGGGTTCTCCTGCTTGAACAGGGGGCTAGACTAGAAGACTTCCAAGGTCTCTTCCAGCTTTGTTCTTTTTAATCTATTATACTCTACTCTACTCTACTCTACTCTACTCTACCCTATCCTATCCTACCCTACCCTACCCTACCCTACCCTACCCTACTCTACTCTACTCTACTCTACTCTACTCTACTCTACTCTACTCTACTCTAATCCTAATTCTAATTCTAATTCTAATTCTATTCCTTCCCAACTCTGACAGCATTAGGGTTCTACAGCACTTTGAATTCTATCTCAAAAGTTCCTTTGAGGCAGGCAGAATTAAATTACAGGTAATCCTCAATTTACAACAGTTAGTTTAGTGATCATTCAAAGTTACAACAGCACTGAAAAAGTGACTTATGACGATTTTTCACAGACTGTTGCAGCATCCCCATGGTCATGTGATCAAAATTCGAACACTTGGCAACTGACAGTTGCAGTGTCCCGGGATCATGTGATCATTGTTTGTGACCTTCTGACAAGCAAAGTCAATGGGGAAGACAGATTCACTTAACAACCGTGTTACTAACTTAACAACTGCAGTGATTCACTTAACAACTGTGGCAAGAAAGTTTGTAAAATGGGGCAAAATTTACTCAACAAATGTTTCACTTGGCAACATAAATTTTGGGCTCAATTGTCACACATTAAGGACTGCCTGAAGTTCTATGTTTTCCTAGGATCACATGGCTTCTCTTTGCAACTGATTCTTTTTAGTATTCTATACAGATTCATACTTCTATACTCTTTGAAGCACTTTTGAGAAATCAGATCAGAAACATAACAGATCCTTAAAATGGCAGTACGTTGATTAAAATAATTGTGACTATAATGTACATGTACATGTCACCAGGCTAGAAAGCAGGAGACCATGAGTTCAAGTTCCGCCTTAGCCATGAGAGCCAGCTACTATCTCTCCACCAAACTCACCTCACAGGGTTGTTGTTGTTGTTGTGTTGTTGTGGAGAAAATACAAGGAGGAGACATTCGCCACCTTGAGTTACTTGTAAAATAATAAAGGAGGAATACAAATAAATAAATAAAAACATTCGTCTTTTTGCAATACTTTTCCAACTGTCTCCCTCTGCTTACCAGATTTCTTCTTTCATCTCTCCACCATTCTGCTTACTCAGGTCTCTGGGAGAAACTGGAGCCACATAAAAAGTTTTAATAATGATACTGATGGCAATGAGATTTTAAAAAATGCAAGTTGTTCTAGATATAGCAGAATAGCTGTTCTCGATATTTGGCCCCTGGTAGACCATTAATCCTTTTGTTCACTAAGTGATTTTTTATTTCTTAATTTTTTTTTCACATTAACACTTAATTTTTCACATTAAGTATTGTGTGGATTAACAAGATTATCATACAATTGTTTAGAAAATATATTTCAGTATTTCCTTATTAGCTGCTGGTATTTGATTCTTAGTTCTTAGACATTAAAAACACTTGAACATTAACAAAGCTTTACTCAAAAGACTAAGAGTGATGGTTGGTGGTTATGAGACCACCATAGTTGTCACTACTTAATACATTAGGAATTAGAAAGAAAGATAATGGGGGGAAAAGAGCTATAGGTAAAAAAAAAATGTTTACATTCTTCCAGCTTCTCTTTAAAGCTGGTGTACTTGCTGAAAGACCAGTTCTACTGAATGTATGATATTTGTCTTAGGTCAATATTTTTTTGGTGTTTTAAAAAGGGACAAATTTTAGTAATTTCATAATTATTATATTTTTACCTCTAGGAAACAATGCCTTTGCAATTTTCTTACTTAGATGCCAAAATAGCCATCTTTGGTATAATGCATTGTGACAAAATTGCCTTATTTTTCTCACATAATTTATATTTTCTTTGTCCTTTGAAATACTATGACTAGCATATAAACTTTCTTTAAAGCAGGGTTGGGGAACTATGGCTCTTTTAACAAGGAATTCTAGGAGTTGCAGTCCACAAGTCATTAAGGGGCCATAGTTTTCCCCTTAATGATTTAAAGTAATAGAGTCCAAAGAAGAAGGGCAGAAAACTATCAATATTTTCATATGAGGAAAAACACTTTCAGTGCCAGTTTGTTTAACGTATCTACATTCAATTGCATTAATGTATTCAAATTCCCTGGAGGTTGTGGGGATTGCAAGAAGTTGCTTGATATATTGTACACCAACTGGAACCACTTGCTCTAAAAGAAAAATTACAATCATTAATAAGCAAATATTCAGTACAGCAATTGAATATAGATAGGTTTTGAAATCTATCAAAGTACTTTTCATGCAGCTTATAAAGTGTGCCTCTAAATGTAATTATGAGTTGTTTTGCCAAGTGTCAGGGCAGTGATGCCGTGTCCAGGCAGTTGGTTCTTTTGGAACCAGAGACAATAAGCACACCAGTAAATAAAGGAATTTTAAGCTTAATTATTAGGTGACATAACAGATTGAAAAGTATGTCAGGCACAAAGGATCAGGACTGTATATTAAATTGCAGTGCATAATTTTATTCCAGGCTGTGTACAAGAATCTAGTCAACTAATAGTCAGCACTTAACTGGCACTAGATAGGGGTCAAAGGAATTAAAGGAGGTGTGGACATGGATCGTTTGTGTCAACATAAGGATTCTAAGCTGATGGCATGTTTAACTCTGCCCCCCCCCCCCCCCCATTGTGCCTGCTCTTCTATAGCATAACAGAAAAAGGATACATACCAAGCAAGATAACAGCCATATCTCTTATAAGCTGCCAGGAGCTGCTTAATAATGATAGCAGAGATACCCCCATGGATGGCCGGTTTGCAGCCAGCATACAAAATAGAATATTGGAATAGAATCAGACCCCTTGATCTATGCAAGGCCTTCTACTGCTCACTTCACTAGCCACTTCCACATAAACACTTACACTTGGAGAGTATCAGTGCTCTGCTATTGGCTGTCATAGCAACCCAATGGGCGACTTTCCCTTCTTAACCCCTTTTCTTTTGCTTTTCTAGCATTTACAGCAGCAGTCACATTTGCCTCGGCAGCACTTTCAGCAACAGCAGCGAAATCCTTATCCAGTCCAACCAGTCACTCAGTTTCCAGGTGAGAGCTAAATACTTTTTAGGTTCAGAAGCTGTTTATCCCTCTTTGATATTTACATGCTTATTTCTCTCTATAACTATTATCTATGTAAAACAGCCACTACTTTGTTATTTTAGAAAGGCATCCTCAGGAAGAACAATCTTATCTAACACAAGTAGGCAGTAGCTACCAAGACTTTGCAGCAATCTGGATATAATGGAGAAAAAGGTGATAGGCACACATGAGTGGGCTCACATCACATCTATTTATGATTTCTTTACTCCTTTCTACGCTCACATGGCTATTATTATCCAGGAAAAGATATCTTTGACTCAGGGGTGGGTTCTACTTACCTTTACTACTGGTTCGCAATGGGAGCGCTCGCTTCGCTCTCTCTTGCGTGCGCTTCTGCGCATGCAGAGATCATCCATGATGACGTCTGGACAGGTGGGTGGAGCCTCCCGCCGCTTTTACTACCGGTTCGCAAGAACCGGACCAAACCGGGAGCAACCCACCACTGCTTTGACTTAAGGAGTTGTTGACAGGTATAACAAGCATATCTGGGTGTGTTCTGAACCCCTATTCCCGGGGTGAAATCCAGCAGATTCTGCCAGATTCTGACAGGTTCTGGAGAACTGGTAGCGGAAATTTTGAGTAGTTCAGAAACCGGCAAATACCACATCTGGCTGGCCTCAGAGTGGGGTGGGAATGGAGATTTTGTAATATCCTTCCCCCAGGAGTGGGGTGGAAATGGAGATTTTGCAGTATCCTTCCCCTGCCACGCCCATCAAGCCACGACCACAGAACCAGTAGTAAAAAATATTGGATTTCACCACTGCCCTATTCCCCTTTGAATCCAGGTCACATACAGCCCTAGATGCTGCTTCTTTCCTTCTTTCCTCTTCACTGTCAACAGGCACAAAAAATACTTTTAAAAAAATCTAAATTACAAGATTGGTTACAAAAATTATTTGCTGAAAAAATACAAACAATTCTGATTAGTGGAGTGATCCTCTTAGATATTCTGCATATTGCATTAGAAATTTAACCATCTTGTAGTGCCAGATGGCAGGAAGAGACAGAAACAAGCAAGCATATTCATTACATATAGTCTACCCTACCTCAATCTGCAAGCCATTTAATGAGAGTAGAGACAGCCAGTTGGTGTAGCAGTTAAAGCACTGAGCTAGAAACTGGATGACCGAGTTCTAATCTTGCCTTAGGCAATGAAACCAACTGGATGACCTTGGGCCAGTCACACTCTGTGTGCCCCAGGAAGAAGGCAATGGCAAACTACTTTGGAAAATCTTGCTAAAAACCTGTAAGGACTAGTCCAGACATTTTCCAAGTCAAAAGGATGGCAGATTTCAAATGTAAATCTATCCATTCCCATTCCAAGCAGAAAATAGAGATACAATTGAGAGAGTTTCTGGGTTTATGGTGATGTATTTGTTTGTTTACAGTATTATAAACTCCCCCAAACTCAAAGATTGGATGATGCGCATCAACATAAGGAATAAAATGTGATGCCAAACAGAAAGTATAGAACAAGCCTGAATAAAAATAATTAAATTAAGAAGATGGCTAAAAAGACTTAAGATAGTAAGGTGACCAATCGTCCTCCTTTAGGGAGGACAGTCCTTCTTTTGTAAGTTCTGTCCTCTCTCGAAAAGTGTCCTCCTACAAGTCCTCCTTTTCGATATTTGAAGACTAATCTGTAAATCTCCGTATTGGAGCGATGCCAAGCCAATCTGTTACATGTGATGTGATGTATTTGTATTTGACATGACGATTCATCAAGGCTCGGTACAGTGCGGCAACACGCGATTATGAGACGCATGCGCTCCGCACAGGAGAATTGTTTTGAGAGAGTGCACTGTGCGCAAGAGTGCGCCGTATGCAAGTGGCTTTGTTTACTTCTTACCAAAACACGACACGGCACACACACACGCTTCTTTTTTTCCCTTAAATTTGTTTGTGTCCTCCTTCTCATTGTAAAAAAGTTGGTCGCCTTAAAGATAGATGTCTACAGATCCGATCCGATCAGCTGAGGCTAAAGATTCCTTGGAATAATGATTTCAATTGTTTATGAAATACTAGGAATATATGGGAGAATATACAGTACTTCTGGATGAAGGGTATCCTGAACAATGGGGGAAATGGATACTATGGATGCCGGATAAAGCTTGATTAAAAAAGATTTCCAAGGGAAATTTAATAGCAGAAAGGTTCTTCTCACCCCACCCCTTTTAAAATATATAAATATAGCAAATGTGCTTCAATCAAACAGAGTATTGTCTAAGGATGGCTGGTTCTGAAGCCGTAAATTCCCTGAAAGATGTCTAGTGTTTAAAAGCTTTGTAAGTCAGTTGTACAAACTCCAGCCTCATCCTATATAACCCTGATTAGCAGAATACTATTGGAGGAATGTCAGTGCAGAATCAGAAAAATAGGGGAAACTCTGACCATGCCTAATATCTTCACACAAATGCTGCAGTTTACTTACTTGCATCAGATGCCTGAGCTCAAGTACAAAATGGCAATAGCCACCTGATGATGTCATTTTGGAAGTATTGCAGTTGTGGAAACTTCTGCTCCTATAATGCAAAGCTTTTGCTCTTGTCCAGCTTTTTCCTTTAAATAATTATTTGGAAGGAAGACTGTATGAAAATAACATTTAGGAGTAATAGAATGCTGTTAAAACAGTTGATTTTATGTACATTTAATATAATATTATTTTTCCTTAATCACTGCCCCCTGTAGCTCAAAACAAGTGTTTTTATTGCATGAATATTTTTACAACCTCTAGTTTATTTACAAGATAATTGTAAATACTTGTTAATTACAAAAGAAACATTTAATGGCATACCCCAGAATGCATAATTTGTTGTAGTTTTCTAGCCCTATTTTACATCAGGGATTGCATTTGATATCATTTTGATCAGTATGTATAATGATGTATATGGATTAGGTAAGAGTCTTCTAAGGGGGGTGTTTTTTGAAGATTATCCTTCATTAAAGTATTGTGGGAATTTTCATTACTTTATTTATCTGTGTCCTTCAAAATGCTTGCAAAATTCTGCCACCTATTTGGGGCAGGTTTTTTTTATTAGAGAAGGTTCTACAAATTTCAAAAAAGGGCTGTTGAAGCCATTGGAATCTGAGTCATCAGCTGCCTGAGCCTACCTGCTCAGTGAGTAAGAGACATAGATGTCATTGTTTCCTTTTTAAATCAGACCTTGCCCAGTCTCTCCCCCCCCCTTCTCTCTCTCTCTCAGCTCAGCCAACCTCACAGAGTAGTTGTGAAGGAAAAAGGAAAGAGGGAGTACTATATATTGGTATATGCTGCCTTTTTAAACAAAAGACAGGGTATTAACTAAGAAATACATGTTATACACATATGTACTGCATAGTCTTTTTACTGTAGCAAAAGTTGTAAACGAAAATATGGCAAGGAAATTTCACTTTCTTATATTCAGAAACACACTGAACTCTTGGCACAGTCAAAATTCTTATAACTATTTTTAAATAAGAGAGTATAAACGTAAGGGCATATTTGTTTTCCAGAAAACAATCGTGCCTCCCAGACAGTTCTGCCTCTGCATCCCTTTTCATCGGGAAGAGGCTAGAATTTAATAAGGAAGGGTTTTTCTGATTCCTCAACATTGGTTCAATGTGGAGTAAAATGTGCTTACAGTATTGATTTGTCAATACACCATCTCTGTGTAAAATATCTAGGGGGTGGGAGAAGCATTTCTTCTCTTTTCTGTAGACATAACTAGAAACAATGCTATAGAATATCCATTCTCATATGACTCCTACGCAATAACAAATTGATTAACCTCTCAGCAATTGACACGGTTTTCATTTTAAAAGATAATAGGAATAGTTAAAGAGTTTCTTGGGTAGTTAATGGTCAGATCCTTGTTTACTTGTTCAATTCTTCATTTTCAAACAGATCTCTAATGAATGCTTGCATAATTATAGTCCCGTGTAATCATGACCTTCAGCATTTGGCAGGCCGCTAAATAATGTAAAATCTGAATCAGGCTCTCAACCTCTGCTTCTTTGAAAACAGGGAAACATTTATCCTCAAACTTTAAACAAGATTGTAACATGATGATATAGCACAACAGCTGCACAGCACTTCAGATTTGAAGGTCAAATGGTGCTTCTGAGTATGCAGGGGTACAAGTATAGAATAACCTGCTATGGGTACATACTGAATCTGTGCACTAAAGCCTTTTTTGCCTTCTATTCCACAGCCCTGGCCGGCCGCATACATCTTTTGAACACGTCAATAAATACATTTGGAAACAATTTGTTCATGTTTAATTTTAATTTATTCTTGGTATTTCCAGGTAGGACTGGAAAAGACCCCACTATGAGACACTGGGAAAAAACCCACTTCTGTAGCTTGGTTTTGTTTGTACTACATAAAGAAATTATCTGCTATGTAAAAGTCATATTACTACTTCTAACATGGCTGTAAAAGTGACTTTTTGGTAGCATTTTCTAGAGACATGTAACTTTGTTTGTAAGTTAAGCTAACTACTGTTCTAACATGATGTTCTGTTTGGTCAGAATTTTGCAAGTCAGAGATTACAACACAGTTTAGGAGGTATTCATATATGTAAAAGGTCTGAATATTAATATAAAAATGTCTAGGTTATTTCTTGCATATATTTTGCAAAAATATTTAGCCAACTTCTTCCAGCTGCCTGAATCATTTCTGCAGATTCTTTCAGTAGACTGAAGTTCACTCTTAACTTTTTTCCTTCTGCTGCTTTAGGTTCTCCACAAGACATAGCTGCAGTAAGAAATCAGACTGCCCTTCAGAGCATGAGGACTTCCCGAATGATACCTCAGAATGCTAGCATGATGTCTTTGGGGGCCTCTCAGAACACTGCAGCAATCTCTGCAACTGGTAGTCAGCCTGAGATGGGAATGACTCCTTACAGCAGCCCAGTGACTGGCCAGCCAGGAATGTACAGTATGAACTCTGGAATGAGCCAAATGTTGCAGCACCCAAACCAAAATAGTATAAATATAACACACAATCCAAGTCAGGGGCCAAGGCAGTCCAGCTCAACACAGGGAGTTGGCATAGTCAGCAGCTTTGGTCCAAATGTTTTAGTAAACTCTACTGTAGCTCAACAACATCAGCAAATGAAAGGACCCGTGGGACAAGTTTTGACCAGATCACAAGCCCCCAGGCTTCAAAATATGATGGGGCCAGTCCCACAAGGAACAGCAAACTGGCAGGCAAGAGGACTACAAGGTATTCCTGGAAGGACTAGCAATGAAATTGGATCTTTCAATAATGGATCTGCTTACTCAATGCAATCAAGTCAGCCAAGGCTGCCTAAGCAACATTTTCCTCAAAGTATTGGTCAATCTATTATGGACACAAATGGAGCAGTACGGACACTGAACTCAGGTGTAGGGAGACAGATGTTGCAACAACTCACTGGACAACAAGGAACCAATAACCAATCCAGATCAATGGTTATGCCTACAATAAGTCAGGCAGTTTCTTCTCTAACTGGTTTTAATCAGTCTCCTGCACAACAAATACCAGGAAGTAGCTTCAATCAGAGCAGCCAAGGTCAGATCTATGAGAGGAATCCCACTCAAGACATATCTTACAGCTATAGCAGTGAAGGAACTGGAGGGTCCTTTCCAAATATAAGTGAAAACACCGATCTTGTAGACTCCATCATTAAAAGTGGTCCAGGAGATGAATGGATACAAGAACTTGATGAACTGTTTGGAAATCCATAGCACATGGAGATGTTCAGTTTCAATATTTGTGGGGTCAAAAAAAAGGAAAGCAGGATGATGTCCATCCTTGTTTCTTTGTTTTGTTTTTAAAGCTGTGCAAAGCTAGCTGATCTGTGAAGGCATAGATGGAATTTGAAGCAATGACAAAAAGTCCTTGCCAACTTCCCACAGCAGTCTCCATGCCATAGTGTATCTGCTGCAGGTCAGAATGAGAGAGAGAGAGAGACTGAGAGAGAGAGAGAGAGAGAGAGAGAGAGAGAGAGAGAAAAGCTCAAAAAGTGCTGCTTTCTGCCTACGGGCCACAGAAAGTGCCAGGCAGTTCCCATGTGCCAAAGCACTGGCTGTCCTATAACAATGCACTTTCTATGCAGTTCTCTGAGAGCTGTTGTAGTTTTCAGGATACAGCACGGGCAGCTTCTGAGATAAAGCAGGAGAGTCAAAGCTAGGCGACTGTACAAGTGACAAACACAAAGATCTTAACTCTGAATTTAATAAATACCAAGCTTTTCCATGCAATGTGTGTAATCTGATAGAGAATTACAGGTTGTTTGAATGTGGTGATGACAATGATATCAGGGCTGAACGAGTTCAGTCAGTGCCCTATCAATGCTTCTCAAGGTGAATGATGGATTCTAGTGAAAGAGTTTATCTTTTCTCTATTGTCCATTTCCTGCATAATCAAGTGATTCCTGACTCATTATCTTTAAGTATGAGGAAAAACACAGCGTAGGACAAGCAAGATTGTATAATAACTGTATTACTCACTGGCTGCTTCCAAAGATAGTGATGCAATACAAAAGTAATTGGAAAAAAGGGAGATAGGCCTAAGGAAATGAAAACATTGATATTGAGTGTGTCCTTTTTCTGAATATACAGGATCAAGTGAGGTTGGGCTATACAAACTGTTGGCTTGATCTTCCAAAGATGTTAGGAGAATCAAGGAACAACTGCTCTAAAGATCACACAGAGAGGGGCCAATAATTGTAAAGCACCCTTGACAGATTGAGAGTGAGTTTATGGTTTCTGTTCTTCAAACACATGTCCTCTTTTCTACACGTCCTACTTCCTACAAGCCCTAAGCTCTTGAAAGTGACTAACCTGATCAATGAAAAACAAATTTAAAAAATTAAAAATCCATTAATGTAATTTTTAGTAGCAGTTGTATATAAGCATATGACATTGCAAATATTTTTTCATAGAGTTGTGCAATTTGAAGGACTAAAATTTAACTGCAATTCTTTTAGGTCCTTTTAAGAGTTTAGATTGGCATTATTTGTAACATTGGAAATTGAATGTGTGACCACCTATCTGTATGTTGAACATGGGGTTCATGTTAAATACATCCACATCCAGAGCATTCTCAGGGTCTGATTTATATGTTTCTCTTACATACAGTTTTCCATCTAAGCTAATTTGTTTTTAGAGATAACATTTTTTGGTAGAGTAGCAGCAGACAGTGAGGGGACTTTGCTATTTCTGCAGCCATTCATTCTCTGGTTCATGACATTTTCTGATTGTATCTCTTACACATTTCCAGGATAAGATTACCAGGCATATTGGAAGAAATGTTTTAAAAGCATGTAGAGAAGCACTGAACACCTCATTTATCCATAATTTTCCTTTTCTAGAAACAGCTTTTCCTGAAAAATGAAGGAGGGGCAGGGTTTTAGTTACGTGTTATACTTAAAGTATTTTTAGCCCATCAGACACTTTGGGTTGGGATATAAGATTTAAATGGCATGGGTGTAAAATTTCTGTATACAGTCTGGCGTATAGCCTACTGAAATTATTGGCAGATTTTTTTTGCTGATTCTCATGAGAGTTAATTTCTTGTCAGTACTAAAATATAGATTGACCAATGCATTTCCACGTTGGTAGATTTGACATTTGGCCAAAAAAAAATTGTGTACTTATAACAAATAAATTTTATCATGCACCCAGTGCACAGTGTGCCAATCTGAGTTCTGATCATAGCACATACATAAGAGTGCATGCAAAGAATCAAAGAAGTTTTAATCCACGCATTTATTAAATTTATTTAATACAACTATACCATACTCAGATGAAAGAGAGAAAAGAAATGAAGAGTTTGTGTGCTACAGCAGTCAGATGAAGCTGAAAAATGTGACCAGTTAAGTATGCAAAAATTAGGAAAGAAGTCAAGTGAATTATCATCTGCCTCCAAAATAAAATTATTCTTTCCTGGGAAGATTGATAAGAGAGGACTTATGGTGCAATCCTATGTATGTTTATTCAGAAATAGGTTCCATTGTCTTTGAGCTAAACCCAGATAAGGGGCTATAGGATTTCAACATTAAAACATGAGTTTCATGTATACAGATTCCAGTAAGTTCCATTTTATTAGAATAATAGAAAAATTAACTTTGCGTCTGATAATGCACTCATAAAAAGTTTATTATATTTGTAAATTTTCCTCCAAATCCTTTAAACTGGGACCAAGTAATAAAAAATACTGTTTAATATTGGGGGAGGGCTCTTTTTAACTATGGTGCTGGTGTACATGAAATGGGTTTTTTTTAAAAAAATATTTGTAAATATGTTTTTACAATCTGCTGATATCACTGGGTCTAGTCTGTAAAATAGAAACATATAAATAAATATTGTATTATATTATGCTATATATATGTGTTTATAAATATATATATACATGCACACACAACATGCAAACAGACATATATATGTAATACGTTTGTTTAAAATAGAATTTTATTTCATATTCATTTATCTATACTGCAGTGATAACTGCACTTCAGATGTCCTATTATCAGTTTGTACTGTATCCTAGCCAGCAACTTGTTCCATTTTATTCAAACTTTTTCTAATTTACTTTTTTTTCATTTTTCACATTAAATGTTGCTTATTTCATTTTGATAATTGTACAGAACTCTTAAAATGTAGAAATGGACTAATATACCAATTTTAAGGGGAAAAAAAATAAAAGATTGTTATCTGAATCAGCTCAGCACTGTAACACAGTTCTTTATTCTTGCAGTACAATATGTGGCAGAACTGAGTCAGCCTTCACTAATCCACAGAAAAGCTAAGGCGGAACGGGATATGGCTAGAACTCAGGTCAGCAGCCACCAAAAAATTCAGTGCTTTGTCTAGACTGGGGAATTAGAAAATCTGGAAAAAAACAATAATTACAAACTATTTTTTCATATTACAAGGAAAACTGCACAAAAGTGTAGAAATAGTGGAGTCATGCTCAAAATGAGGAAGTCATTAACTATTAAATCTTATATTATGTACCGTACATCTGCTGTCAGCTGGATCTGTTAATACAGGTAGTCCTCGACAGTTCATTTAGTGAAGTTTGAAGTTTTTTTTTAAATTTAATTTATATTAAATTTATTAAATTTAAATTTAATTTATATTTAATTTATATTAAGTTACAACGGCAGTGAAAAAAGTGACTTATGACCATTTTTCACAGTTACAACGGTTGCAGCATCCCCATGGTCACATGCACAACTGCAGTGATTCACTTAACAACTGTGTCAAGAAAGGTCGTAAATTGGGCAAAACTCACTTAACAAATGTTCCACTTAGCAACAGAAATTTTGAGATCAATTATGGTCGTAAATCAAGGAGTACCTGTATTGGGGCAAACACTGAGTTCCTTTGATCCAATAAAATATTAAAACTGGGAAATAGCTTTATAAAGAGATAGTGGGTGTACCCCACTAATTAACAATAGCTGTCCAGCATTTCAGGCAAATCTTTATCCATGATTGGTTGCATGCAAAGAATGTTGCACATAAAAATTCAGACAACCTTGGTCAAGTTGTATGTTCAAATGAACCCCTAAGTGATTTATTCATTCTATGTTTCAACGAGTCTCTAAGTGCCACTCCAGGGTGGGAGCAAGAGGCTAGAGAGATAATTGAATAAGTTTGATAGGTGCTAAGCGGTATCAAAAGCAGAGGTGAAATCGACTGGTTCGAACTGGTTTGGGCAAACCGGTAGTGGACATTTGGTCTGGGTCGCCGAACCGCTAGAGACTGTTGGCTGGCCACACCCTTGAACCGGTCTCCCGGTGGCCGCTCTTCGCCACATGGAAGGCAGGCAAGCATGTTGAGGCCGCGGGCTGTGGGGAAGGGAGCTAGCAGCCTACTCCCTTCTATGCAGCCCTGTTATGCTTGCCTGCCTTCCATGCAGTCTTCCTGGCGGTCACCCCACACCCGCTTGCCTTCCAAGGTCAGCATCCAACCTGGCCCAGCTAGTGGGTGGGTGGGCAGCCCTTGGTGGAAATGCAGACACTGCACTGGGGCAGCAGCGGCGGTGCTCCGGGAGGGCAGGCAAATGTCCCAGGGCTGCTGCACATGCACCCGCTCCGTTTCTGCAAAGGCAGAGCCCCCCCCCCCTTGTAGGATGATCCTAAGAGGGAAGGGGAATGCTGTGGAAAAGGCCACCTTCCACCCAGGCCCGTGTGCTTCCCGTGCCAGTTCCGTAGGGCTTGGGGCTCCGAAGCAGCCCACTGGCTTCCCATCCACCCAGCCATCTGCCTGCTCTCTTTGTAGATCGGCCCACCCGACCACCGGCGTCACTCTGGGAACTCAGCCCACGGAGTCTAGCACTCTGGGGGAAGGAGGCTTGGCCGTGGCGCCACTTCCCGCTGGCAAAGAAGCAGAGCTAGAGGCACGGAAGCCACCGTGGAGCCCATGGTGCTTTCCCTTTGGGCTGGCCGGCTGTGCTTACCCGGGCATACCAGTGCAGGTATACCTTCATCTTGGCACTCCCTTGCCCGCTGCCTCCATGTGCTGCACTTGGAAGGGGTCACCAGTCTCGCCGCAGCTGTTCACTTTTGTTTCACAGCGGGAGAAGGAAGAAAGTGAATGGAGCACTGCTACAGCGGCGCTGTTCACTTTTGTTTTGCGGCGGGAGAAGGAAGAAAGTGAACGGCGGCCTTGCAGTGGTGCTCCAGGAGGGCAGGCGGTGCTCCAGGAGGGCGGTGAGAGTGGCAGCAGTGGCTCCTTCCAAGCGCAGTGCACGGAGGTAGCGGGCAAGGGAGAGACAAGATGAAGGGCTCTCCGCACTGGCCTGCCCTGGTAAGCGCCGCCACCCAAGCCAAAGGGAAAGTGCCACGGGCTCCATGGTGGCACAGCCATACTGGCCATCTCCCCGCACGGGGGGACTGCCACCTGCCCAGCTGCAGGTGGCTTCCATGCTTCTCACTCTGCTTCACCGGCAGGAAGCAGCGCCACAGCTGAGCCTCCCCCCGGAGCACTGGACTCCGTGGGCCAAGTTCCCAGGGTGGTGCCAGCAGTCAGCCGAGCCGATCTGCAAAGAGAGCAGGCAGGTGGCCAGGTGAGAAGCCAGTGGGCTGCTTCGAAGACCCATGCCCTGTGGAGCCAGCATGTGAGTCACGTGGGCCCAGGTGGAAGGCGGCCTTTTCTGCAGCATCCCCCTCCCCTCTTTGGACTGCCCTGGGGGGGGCTCTGCCTATGCAGAAACAGGGCAGCCAGTGTGTACAGAGGATTGGTGGCGGGGATGTGCAGCCCTCCGGGATGTAGAGCAGGACAAAAGAAGGCTCCTAAGTTCACTTGGGCAGCAAGCCAGATGGCAGAGGGAAACTCAAAGCATTGGGGGCTTCAGAAGGGCAGAATGTTCTTCAGAATGTGCAGCATCTGGCTCTAACAGTGAGTGACGTGAGTGATGTCAAGTTGGCCATGCCCACCTGGTCACATGACTAGCAAGCCATTCCCACCAAGCCACGCCCACAGAGCCGGTAGGAAAAATTTTTGGATTTCACCACTGATCAAATGCATCACTGGCCAGAGTAGGAGTTGCCTGTCTATTGTTTATGTTGGACAGGATGTGTCCTTTTACCTTACAGATAGGAGGAAATGTGGAAGTTGGTGGTGTAAGGAGGAAAAGAGCAGGGAAAAGCATTGCATTGGTGCCAGGCATGTGGCAGTATGGTTGGAGACCGGATTGGTTTGATTGTGGTGGCTTATATCACCAAAACCTAGTTGAGCATAGGGGTTCTTCTCTCTGAATGTGCTTAACTGGGTTTTAAGTGCAGCACCAGCTTTCGCGTGAGCTTCCATTGCGAACTAGTAGTAAAGGTAAGTAGAACCCACCCCTGGCCAGAACATGCCACCGGTTCTACACATTGGGGGTATCTTTCCCTGTAATGGCCTGTCCTCTGACTCCTGTAGCAACTTATGCCTATCACCAATTTAATATGTTGTCCAGCCCTAAATCCTCAAGGTGATCTTCTCCCAATCTGACCTCCCTCCTCTTGGGACAGACGGTTCTATCATTCCACTTCAATGTTTCTCATTCACTCCCTTAAATATCCTGGAGAGATGGCTTCTGCTTCTCTGCTCCTCCCAGATACACAGAATCTACTCCCTCCTAAGATGGTCCCTCTCATTGGCCAGCCAGAAGGAGGGCAGACTCATCCCCTCATGTCTGACTCTCATTCTGGATGGAGAGTGCCAAATATCCAACACCAACACACTAGCTGCTCCCAGGCTTTTACAGTTGGAGCAGTTGATTCTGGATCGTTATGACTCCTCTAGCATAACCACCACTGTCTCCTCCATTTCACTTCAGGTGCCCACACTTGCCTTCAAGTTCTTTTCTAGTTTCTTATGGAGGCCACTGGGCATTGGCCATGGCTTCAAGTTAACCACTCTGGCTTTGGTTTTAGGTCTTACAAAATCTTTCCCAGTCTTGTGCTGTCCGCTCACCCATAGTCCCCTTACGAGGGCCACTGGCCCTATTGCAGAGGCCAATTCCAACATTCTCCACTTGACAGCTATGGTCTTCAGACCCTGTGGTCAGTGTTGGATCATGGTCCCTTGGCCTCAGCCCTTGCAGGTTTCTTATCTTAGCCTTTCATTGCTATCACCCTCAGTCTCACCTGCGGGCTGCACTCTCGGTCCCAGAAGCAAACACCACTGCCGTTGCCCTCAGTATCCATCATCCTCAGTCTTAACTGCGGGACTTCATTCTACACTTCCAGAGCAATCCACCCTATGGAATTCTCTAGTTTAGATTATGGATTCATTCAAAAACTACCAAAAAGTTATTAGATGAAATAGCTTCCATCGTCAAAACATAGAGAGGAACAATTGTGCCTTTCCATAATATATTTGGAAGGGTGGGGAAAGGGAGGAAGAGCGCAAGCAGGTTTTATTAGCAATGCAACCTGGAAGAATAACATTCCTCTAATAAGATTTCAGTTTATGGAAATGGTAGTAAATTGGCTATACCTTGTTATAACAAAGTACAAATCTCTTGTATTAAAAACTAATGTTTTGCAAGACTTATACTATATTGATTAATACCTATAGTTGCAGGATTATGACAGTGTATTTTTTTTACTGATGTGAGTTCTTTCTTTTTTTCACTGATTGTGTTACAAGTCATACAAATTGTCTAATTCAGGTAAATGATCCTTGTACTGCTCCCCAGAACTCATTAAAAATTTTGCATCTCAGTAATTTGTATTCTACTTTGTTATATTTAGAATCAATTGGCATTACCAGGCATGCTTTCAAATCTGCTTTTCCCCCCTCATTATTGTCATTCCTACCTGATTCTCAAAAGCATTTAGCCTATTGCTCAAGCCCAGAACTTCAGAATGTCTTCAACAAATCACGGGTCAGCCTATTATCAGGTAGAACTTAAGCGGCACTAAAATGTCACTCACAGAGGATAACAGCCTTCCAACATAATTCTAGCACTCCAAGAATCCATAAACAGAAAAAAAAATGAAAAGAAATATTAACAGGCAACACACATACACACAGAGAGAGAGAGAATTTCCCTGCATGTATTTACATGCATTTGTCTGTGGTTTTTGAAATCTTCACTGAGATTAATATACTTAATGTGAAACATGTAGATAGATTGGGAGGGATTGCTTTTGGGATCTATAAGGTAAAGGTAAAGGTTCCCCTCGCACATATGTGCTAGTCGTTCTCGACTCTAAGGGGTGGTG